CAGACGCACTAAAGAAATAAAGAAATAAAGAAATAAGAAGGTGACAGTAAACCAACCAAGGTTCGGAAAAAGTGTTGACAGAGCTAGCGGAACGTCCCTCGCAACAGGAGGCTTACCCATGGAATCAATCTTGCCAGTGAGAAATCGTACCAGCCCTGTCCTCTCTGCGAAGGCCAGCACTCACTTGTTAAATGTAGCAGTTTCTTGAAGACGTCAGTAGACCAGCGCAGTGATGTCATTCGTGAAAAGGGACTTTGTTACGGCTGCTTTAAAAGGGGACACATGCCAGCCAGTTGTCTTGACAGATTCACTTGTGAAGAATGCGGAAGGCCCCATCACACACTCCTCCATGGAGTAAAACCCAAATCCAGCAACCCACAGCCAGACACGAAAGCAAAATCGAGCGTTCTTCAACTGAAGAAGAAAGATCCTCAAAAGGAAGCCAGCTCCCAAATCATCAAATTAAAAGGCAATTAGCGCAGCACACAGCTCAGTGCCAGGCAATGCAAGCTTAATCACCAATTGTCGAATAGTCTTGGTCGATCTGTTTCACAAGGCTAATCCCGAAAAGCAAGTAAAGGTGTACGCTATCTCAGACGATGCAAGTAACACGACCTTTGTTATTACCCAAGTGCAAGAGAAACTCGGCATAGAGGGTGTTCAGACCAGTTTGAACCTTAGTACCACGCTTGGTCGAGAAGTGTTAAAAGTAGAAAGAATCAATGGTCTAATTGTATGAAGACTTGACAGACGTCTTTAAGTTGAGCTACCTAAGGCATACGCTAGAGAAAGCATTCCATCCAGACGAAACCAAATCCCTACACCGGAGGTTGCGGATACGTGGCCACACCTTCAGAAAATACGTGATAAGATCCCGCCCTTCGAAGAGGACGCAGAAATTGGCTTGTTGATCTGTTGTAACTGTCCCAAGGTAATCAAACCAAAGGAGCTTATACGGCATGAGTGAAGATCCTTATCAGGTCACACTTTGTTAGGACGGTCTATCATGGGACCTGTCGCAGCCTCAGACAGCTCTTTGAACAGTGATGTTTAGTGATGTGTAGTGATGGACCGTAGCGAGAGAGAGAGTTCCCCGAGATAGTGAGAGCCGATTGAGTTTCGTGCTTAAAGGAAAAACAAAGGAGTTGATAAATCCAACTGCGATTAATCAGATGTTCGAACTAGATTTTTCAGATCACAAAAACAGCGTAGGGCATGGTTTGTCTAAAGAGGATAGACGACTCCTGGAAATAGTCGAGCAGGGAATTCATCAGTGCGAAGACGGCCATTACGAGCTTCCGTTGCCATTGAAAACCGAGCGCATCTAACTGCCTTATAATAGAGAGACAGCTCTCCGCCGACTTAATTAGCTGAAACGAAGACTTCATGCTCCAAAGGGACAGAAATATAGAGAAGACTATGTCAACTTTATGAAAACATCATTGAAAATGGCTATGCAGAGAAGGTACCAAACATGCGCAAATCAGAAAGAAGCAATGTCTGGTATATCCCGCACCACGGCGTCTACCATCCAAAGAAACCAAATAAAATTCGCGTTGTTTTTGATTGCGCGGCGGAACATAGAGGCGAATCTTTAAACAAGCACCTGCTTCAAGGCCCTGACTTGACAAACAACTTGACAGGGGTACTATGCCGCTTTTGAGAACAATCCATTGCCTTTATGTGCTACATAGAAGCCATGTTTCACCAAGTCAGAGTAGACGAAAGCCACAGAGATTTACTTCGATTCCTCTGGTGGGAGGACGGTGAAGTCACTAGAGAACCAGAAGAATATAGAATGGCCGTTCATTTGCTTGGAGCCACTTCATTGCTGGGGTGTGCGAATTTTGCTTTGAAATCAACTCCGAATGACTATGAGAGTGAATTTAGTGTTGCTACCACAGATTGTCTTCGAAATGACTTCTACATTGATTACAGTCTCAAGTCTGTTCTCTCAATCGATGAAGCTTTAACTCTCATTTCAGATGTGAAGCAAATGTGCAAGAGTGGAGGTTTCAACCTTATAAATTTGTGTCGAATAGTAAAGACGTCAGCAGAAGAATACTAGAGTCAGACATAGCAGATGGCGTTAAAGAGCTCGATTTGGACCTTGATTCGCTTCCCTTAGAACGTGCTCTTGGTGTGCAGTGGTGTATCGAGTCTGACTGCTTTCAGTTTAACATCGTCTTACAGGACAAGCCGTGCACCACAAGAGGAATACTTTCTACGATAAGTTCGATTTTTGACCCCCTTGGCTTCGTTACTCTGCTCTTGTTAGACGGGAAGTCAATCCTTCAGGAGTTATGCCGCCTTAATATAAGTTGGGATGACCCGATACCTGACGATATAAAGATCAAGTGGGAGAAGTGGAGAGCAGGCCTGTTAAATTTGCAGCAAACTTCAATTTCGAGATGTTACAAGCCCCAAAACTTTGGTCCTGTTGTGCCCACTAAACTCCACCACCTCTCAGAAGCAACCGTAAAAGGCTACCATCAGTGTG